TTGAAAATAAAAAAATAGAGTCATTGCCCTGGCCGGTTTGGCTCAGCGGTTAGAGCGGCGGCCTGCGGTCCCGAGAGACCCGGGTTCGGTTCCCGCTAAGGGCGCGTACCTCGGTTGCAGTTTGTCCCCGGCTCTGGTCAGTCATGTGGGTGGCAGCCACTCGATGTGTCCCTTCACGTCGATGTTTCTCTCTCTCTCTCTGTTCCTCTCTCCCCCTCCTACTCTACCTGAACAAAAAATGGAAAAAATGTCCTCGGGTGAGGATAAAAAAAAAAAAATATATAGAGTCATTAAAATCACAATTAAAAATCAGCATCTAATTTACAATAAAGGGGCACAAATCATCTGAGATTACTTGTAGGCAAACTAGCCTTCACTGTATCACTGGTAGAGTTAATTAAAATGAAAGAAAAGGGGGAATAAGATAGGTACATACTAGGAAAAGGGAGACTCAGATATTGGACTGTGACCATTTAAGTTTTTACGGTAAATATGCCCGCCAAGAGTAAATGATGCAGGGCTTTAGTCCTTGCTTTTCAAGTATGCTAGACCCCTTGGCAAGTCCATCCTGATGGTAAGACTGTACATCAGACTAAGGAATTTGGACAGTGAATCCTAAACTATATCTCAGAATAATATTATTTTATGATATATTGATAAGTGTTTTATATAGACGAGTCAAATTCATTCTAGAAAAACTGCCTATCTAAGCCCTTGGGGATTCATGATATACATCTGCAGACCAAAGGAAATAATGCACCTATAAAAGGCTTTTAATTCAGTTTAATCCAGCATTTCTCAAATTTATTTGATTACTGAACCTTTTGTTGTTGTAGGAAGATCTATTGAAATGTCTAACAGCACATAACACATTTTCAGAAATGATGCCTTAAAGATTTGATTCATCTACCTCCTGTTGTTTTGAGTCATGCTTACAAAAACCACCTTTTCATTTCCATGTGGTTGGACCACAAGAGAAAATAAATGTTTTGATCAGGCCAACGTGATATTTCTTGTGCGTGTGGCGTTATATTTCACATTGTAAATTAACACACCAGCCTTTTGATGTTTGCTCTTGTGTTATGTGCCTTTTAGTTAGTGTGAGTTGATCTGGTTGTTACCCAACTTCCATCTACTTTCAAGTGCCTGTCTACTCACCAATATCTCCAAAAGGAAGGGAAGCCAGAACTTTGTCTACTTCTAGAGCAATGGTGGAAAATAATGATGAATTCTGGCTGCTACAAATGCTGGTCCTGGTGGCCTGCTAATTATGAGAGTTATGTGGACTACTTGAGAGATGAATGGATTTTAAAGCTAAACATCAAAACAAAGACCTAAGATTATTGCATGCTTCTATGTCCTTAGTCAATCATTTCATTTTTTTTCTTTTTCTATCAACTAACTGATGAATAATAGCATCAATCTACTACACAAACTTACTATGAAGTATATTGATATTACTGATCATAAAAGGGTCTCCAAAGCTTAGAGAGGATACAGGGTTAAGGAGGGTCAAAAAAAGATCCAAAATAGCACGTACTAGTTTTATTTTAAAAACCAACCTGTAACACAAAGATCTTCTATAAGAGCAAGTTAATGTAGAACCATTGGGTTTTCCTCTTCTTGCACTCAGCTATAGCTAATTTGTGATTTGTGCTAAAATCCTCAACAACTCTGAAGAGAAAGTTCAAATAACAGTAATCAGGTATTGTACTGTGGGAGTCATGGAGAAAGAGGAAATGGTACAGAATCACTTATCCTTAAGAAAGTAATAAAATATAATGATTATCATAGAAATATTTAATAAACTTCCACAATTCATTAAACATGAATATATTCAGACAAACTAAATTCATGGTAAATAAACTTTGTAATAGCCTTGAAGGCTTCATTCTTGCCATCCTTCCTTCTTTGGGTCATCAATTTATGCTGAGAGTTCTTGCTAAAGTACTCTGCCTCCAGGTTCTACCTGTCAGAACCTGTCCATCTTCCAGTTGTCCTTAATTACCACCCCATGGTGTGAGATCCCAGATTTCTTCTCCCTGTGCTTCTTAGGACATGGCGTTTAACACATTTCCTTCTCACAGTCTATACAGGTATAGGCCCATTGTTCCTTGTTGTCTAATTCTTGCTAAGCTTCATCCTCATTCTCATAGATGAGAAAGAAGGGTTTTCCCTGCGCCTTTTTGGAGGTTTTGAAGGTAAGAGAGGAGGTTGGGCAGCAATTCTTCAGGCACAGTTCTCAGTAAGACCAGGACTTGCAGAAAACATTTGAAATGAGACAAGATTCAAGTGAGAGATCCACTCACCTCAAAGAGAAAGCACACTTCCCTAAGAAACATTTTATTTACATTTTCTGTCCTTTGTGCATATAAAGTTTAATTTTAACATTGCATTAAGATTTTTTTCATTTATCATTATTTTTGAGAGCATACAATGAAACATAAGAAAATCCACATGTAATTTTAATAGCCCGAAATTATAATGATCAAATGTTAACATCAAGTTTTTGCAAAATTGCAAAATCATATAAATAGTCAAATGACACTAAATCAATAGATGTTTGAGGTAAAAACTTTAAAAAGCTTTATTTTACTTAATAGAGTTTTTCTTACTGTGATCTAGATAGAGATTGAAGCTTAATTTTGGAAGATTTGGTTATTGTAGAGTTATAGTTTTGAAGATTAAACCGTTTAATCTCAGAAGTGACCATATATATGGTTTTAAGTTCTCACTCTTCTCCAAATGAGAGAAGAACTGTGGCATCAAAAGCAACATTTAATGTCAGCTCGAGAACATTTTCCAGAGGAAACTTCTTCCTAAATCTAAATTTCTAAAAGTCTTAACAACTCTCCCCTTCCCCTCACCAGGAATTAGCAGTAAACTTTTTGCCTTGGTTATGGTTATCAAATATTATTTAAATTCTTTCATCCTTATTTACAAGCTTTTGGGGAAACTCAGGATGTGGATGTGGCTTGATAGCTGTGTTTTTTCTTGTAGTTCTGAATATTGGATTGGAATACCATGGTCACATATTGCATTAATTTGAGTCTTCAGCAGAGCTTCATTTATTGACAGCTGTGCCATCCAATATGGTAGTCATCAGCCAAATGTGTCTATTGAGCACTTGGTGTGTGGCTGGTATGAACTGAGATGTGCCAGGGTGTAAATCATACTAAATTTCATAGACTTGGTGAAAATAAACTGCAATAATCTCATTAGTAATTAATGTTTGATTACATATTGAAATGGTAACATTTTTTACTATATTAGGTTAAATCCATTTATTGTTGGAATGAATTTTACTCTTTCAAACACTGTTTAAATATGTCTTCTAGAACACTTGAAATTCTATATGTGCTTCCATTTGTAGCTCACATTTATATTTCTTTCTCTCTCTTCTTTTTTTTTTTTGTTAATCCTCACCTGAGGATATTTTCCTATTGATTTTTAGATAGAGTGGAAGGGAGGGAAGAAGGCAGGGGGAGAGAGAGGGATAGAGAACATCCAAGTGAGACATACACATCGTTTGGTTGCCTCCTGCGTGACCCCAACTGGGGTGGGGGATCAAACCTGCAACCCAGGTACATGACCTCAACCGGGAATTGAACCCACAACCCTTCAGTCTATGGGCTGACCCTCTAACTGCTGAACCAAACCAGTGAGGACCTCATTTATATTTCTGTTTAGTAGTGGTGATCTAGAGATATCGTGCGATGAAACATTGCATGTTTCTATTTTCCAGATAAATTTAAACACTAAAATGTCCACAGTGCCAATTATTTTTGTGAAAGTCCTATTAAATGTACTGTGCTTCTGCATCTTCTTAATAACAGAAACCAACCCAATATAGCATTTTCTTGATAGGTCAATGTCATTTTTATGAAGCTCAATTTTTGTTTTTATTTAATTTTTAATTTTTTTCTTTATTGATTCCAAAGAGAGAGGAAGGGAGAGGGAGAGAGATGGAAACACTGATGAGAGAGAACATCTACTGGCCACCTCCTGCACGCCCCTCACTGGGGATTTGGCCCACAATCTGGGCATGTGCCCTGACCAGGAATCGAATTGGCAACCTCTTGGCGCATGGGTTGATGCTCAACCACTGAGCCACACTGGCTGGGCTGAAGCTCAATTTTTAAAATATTGTGTTTTATTGATGTTCTCATGAGTTAGTGGAGCGTATAGGGCTATTGCTCTCATATAAAATGGGCCCTGGGTGGCGTGTGATTACAGTTGGGAATTGGCTATGTTTTCCCTAATGTTTTTAATTGCTTCTTAAGCATAAGTTTATGCCCTTTCCAATGCAACCTGTATGTCCTTTATAATTTAAGAAAACCTAACAGTTTTCTAGAGAAAGCAGACAAGCAGCTTATGAGGTCGGTAAGCTTTTTCAGAATTGTAGGTTTTAGACCCATGGCAGGCTCTGCTTCTCCTGTAAATAAAATCCATGGGATTCATTATAGCTGGTTTTCTTGCAAGGCAGACATCTTTTAGGTTTCTGGATTAGTGGTTATGAATGAGATATCAGTGGCTGCCAGAAGTCTTACTAACGATATATTACCTACAGTGTGTGGCATTTTTCAATGACATTAGAATTCATGTATACAATTATTGAAAAACACCACATTAAAATATATAAGAAATTAATGGGCAATAGCTAAAATTATTCTGTTGACTTCTTTTTTTTAAGACAATGCTGTGGGTCCAAGTCACAACTGCTATGTTCACTATGGCTCAGCCAATGTGGAATGAACTATGTACATGTGAAATGTGGACCTGGGTTAGGAGCTATAGCCTTTTGTTGTTTAGCTCTTCCCCTGATGGTTTTCTTTCCTTTCCTTACAGGTGCAGCTAGGGCTAGCTTGTACACTGCTGCTGTTTCCCAGCAGTCCAAAGCTCTGTTGCATTGCTTGATGCTGTGCTTTGATGTGTTCTTATAGCATTTATTCTGTTCTCCTTGTTTGTGATTTTTCGACATCAGCTTTCTTATACAATAGCTCCTTGAGTGTCCTGCTGTCTTCCATTCTCAGCATACACACATTCCAGGGGAAGATCAGTGTGAGGACTATTTCAATGCCAACACTGACAATATTCCTTATGATGCTGGTGAGAAATCTGATTTTAAAGATAACTTTCTTAGATCTGGGAGGTGGTATTATTTTATAACACATACACATCTGTTATGATCCATATAACATTGCATTATGCAAATCTGTTTATTGGTAAGTTCTATCATTTGAGTGAGGGATTCTAGGATGCCCTGTGCTGCCCCTGTAATGTTGTAGGTGTTCTGTGGTAGATAACTGACTGAACTGATGGAACTCCTTAAACAGCTCATGTGTTGTGTGTAAAAGATTCAGGGCTTCCAGAAAAACAAAGGTTTAGAATGTATTTTTGCTTATGAACCCTCATTTTTGTAATGCTTGAATAAGAAAGTAATGCTGAATTATCTCAAAACTTGGTTGTCAGGCTCATGAAAAACATAATGGCATTTTTCATGTACTTCTCTACTTTTTTGTCAATGACTCTCAGGAGTAAAATGGCTCTTTTAAGTGTGCATCAGCTTACTGCTCTCTCTTGACTCTGTACATTATTTCATGATAAATCCATGCCAATTGCTTCATAATCTCTCTATGGCACTTATGATGCTATAACTTAGACATGTTCCTTCAGCCTGGATCCACTGAGAAGGTTGTACAAAGCAGAGTATGGTATTACTTTGTTTTATTAGTAATGTAGAAAGTTGGACAGAACACCATCCCTTATTAGGTGACTGTATAAGTCAGCATTTCTGCATAACAAACAATGCCAAAAACCTCAGTTGCTTATTATAATATTTACTTTTTTATTCATGTGTCTGTAGGACAGGTGGGTTTCAGCTGGGGTTTGGCTCAACTTGACTAAGCTAAGCTGGGGTTGGCTCTAGGTTCAAGATTGGATATAGATCTACTTTATTCTTCTTTATTTTAGGACCAGTGATTATCTGAGTTATGCTCTTCTGACGATAGATCACAGGAGTGCAAAAACCAAGCCAAATCATGAGAATACACTTAAAACCCTGATAATGTATCACTGGATGAAGGTGTATGGCTAAGCCCAGCATCAATGAGGTAAAGAAATATACCCCTGCTACTTTAGGGAGAGTTGCTATAAAGTCACAGGATACAGATAGTTTCAGTTATTGTAGTGTGAAGTCAGTGAATCCTCTCTGCAAAATTGAATCAAATATGAAACTGGACAACATTATTAATAACAACCATTTCAGGGTTATGGAAATTGACTGAAGGCAAATAATTAAGAAGTATTTATTCTTGAAACAATGGCAAGACTTTTTGGTAAGAACTGTGGGAATATGCAGCTTTTTGCTTGGAGCTGCTTCCATGCCTCCTCTGGCCCAGGCTGGCTGGTGGTCTGTATGTTTGCCAGGGAAACACTGACCATGAGAACCAGCAGGGTTGCTTCCGGAGTGGGCAGACTCAACGTGGGGGTAGAGACAAAAACCCATGGCATTGTCATCTAAAAGTGGCAAACTTAGTAGGAAACAAGTGAGAAAAACCTACAGCTTTGTTGGCCTGATTCTATTTAGGTGAAGTAGCAGACTACTTAGTAACTTGAAGGGGAGAGCTTGGAAACAAGGGAGACATAGAAGTATGCAGTAAACCTTCCATACATGCCTAGCTGTCTAGGAGTATGAACTGTACACATACCCAGAAGAGACCAAAAGGAATCTAACAGAAAGTAATAGACAAGTCATAGTTGAGAACCAGCTGAGCTTTAAGTGCATTTCCCAATCTACAGACATTTCTATTGGCAGAGGGTGGAAGTGCTTTGGACTTGGTAAAAATGCTATTAAACCTCTGCATGCATCATTAGCTGACCACTAAGGTTTTAGTGACACAGGGGTGAGCCCTAATAAAGCAAGCTGGAAATTAATTTTAAAATACACAATTTTAAAACCCAAGTAGAAACATTAGGAGCTGCACACAATGTTTTCTTTTCCCCCTCTTAATTTCTTTAAAAACAAAGACTACTTGAAACCACATTTATAATGCTAGTTTTTTTTTGGGGGGGGGTGTTGCTGCATTTATAGGTGTATATGTATGACAATACTAGCCTAAAATAAAAGGGAAGAATGAAAATAGAGCAAGTTGCTGTATTCTGTATCATTCTTATTCTTATTATTCTGAAGCAGATTGTGATAAACAGAAGATGTATATTGTAATCCTTAGATAAACTATTAAGAAAATAATTTACAAAATGTAGCTAAACTATTAATAGGAAAGAGCAAGATCCAACTATCTGCTGTCTATAAGAGACACACGTCCTATTCAAAGACACAGGTAGTTTGAAAGTAAAAGGTTGGAAAAGCAAGCAGTAACCATTAGGGACTGGTGGTGGCTTTATTAACATACAAAAACAGACTTTAATACAAGAAATAAAAGAAGTATTTCATAATGATAAAATTTTCAATGTATCAGGAAGAAATAGCAACTATAAATATATAAGTATCTAATACCAGAGACTCTAATACACACAGCAAAGATAGAATTAAAGGATAAATAGACAATTCAATATTATAGTGGTTGAAAATTTCAATATTCCTTTCTCAGTAATTGATAGAAGAATATTAGTAAGGATAATCTAGGCATGAATAACACTTGAATAAACAACCACCTTGACATAACACAAACTCTTCATCCATCAACTGCAGAAGATACATTCTTTTCAGGTGTACATGGAACTCTGCATGATAAACCATATTACTGTAAGGGCATACAATGAGTCTTAAAGTACGTCTTCTGACTATAAAAAATTAAATAAATTAACAACAGCATATAATTAGGGACTTCCCAAATATTTTGAATTTCACAGTATATTTTTGGAAAAACAATGAGTCAAAGGTGAAATCACAAGGTACATTAGATAATATTCTGAATTGAATGAAAATGAAACCCTAACATAGGAAAATTTATGAAGTATAGCTAAAGCAGTGCTTAGAGGGGAACTTATTTAAGTACTTATATTAGAAAGGAAAAGGATCTAAAACCAGTAATGTAAGCTTCCACTTGAAGAAGCTAGATAAAGAAGAGAATATCAAACCTCAAGTAAGTAGATAAAAGAAAATAATAAACACCAAATATGAAATAAGGGAAAGAAAAACAGTAGAGAAAAATCCATGAAAATAAAAAATTGGTTCACTTAAATGATCAACAAAATCAATAAACATTTAGCTAACTAGACTAACAAAGGGGGGGGGGGGAAAGAGAAAAGGCAAATCAAAATCAGGAATAAAAGGGAAAACATTACCACAGATCCTCCAGAAATTAAAAGGATTATAAGGGAAAAGCACGAACCATTTTATTGGGCAACTTAGATGAAATGGTTAATATCTTGGAAAGATAAAATTACAAAACTGTCTCAAGAGAAAAATAGAAACCTGAATAGACCTAAAATGCCTAAAGAGATTGAATTAGTAATTAAAAATTTGCCTACCAAGAAAAGCACAGGCCCAGAAGACCTCACTAGTAAATTTTATTATACATCTAGGGAAGATACAATATCAAACTAAACAAATGTTTTCCGGAAAGAGAGAACAAAACAGTTCCCAGCTTGTTCTATGAGGCCAGGATTATTGTGAAAACCAAGTCAGACAAGATATCACAAGAAAACTACAGAGCAATTATTTGTAATCAACGTAAATACAAACATTTACACAAATTATTAGCAGATTAGCAAGATATACAAAGGCTTATATACCATGACCAAGTAGGATTTATCTCTGGAATGCAAAATGATTTTACATCTAAAAATCAATAAATAAAATGCACCATATTAGTAGAATGAAGGAAAAAGCCACATAATTTTCTCAATAGACACAGATAAAGCTTTTGACAAAATCGAATAGCCATTTACAATAAAAACTATCAACAATTTAAGAGGAGAACGAAACTTCCTTGACCTGATAAAGGGCATGTTGAAAAATCTACAGCTAAGGAGCAGGAGGCGCAGGAAGAAGGCGGGCCCTTAGGGCGCTGGGCTGCACGGGCACCCGTGGGAGCTGCCCAGGTTCGGAAGGCGCCCTAGGGGGCCCTGGGTCATAGAGCGAGCGAGAATGTCCCCACAGCAGTGCAAGGTGCCGAGGAGCCCAAGTAGAAGAAATATGGAGTTTAGAGCCTGAGAATTTTGAAAAATTAAAGCCTGTTCACGGGTTGATTTTCCTCTTCAAGTGGCAGCCAGGAGAAGAACCAACGGGCTCTGTGGTTCAGGACTCCAGACTTGTCATGATGTTTTTTGCCAAGCAGGTAATTAATAATGCTTGTACTACACAAGCCATAGTAAGTGTGCTGTTGAACTGTACTCATCTAGATGTCCATTCAGGAGAGACATTGTCAGAGTTTAAAGAATTTTCACAAAGCTTTGATGCAGCTAGGAAAGGTTTGGCACTGAGCAATTCGGACATGATCCGGCGAGTGCACAACAGCTTCGCCAGGCAGCAGATGTTTAAATCCGACGCGAAGACGTTGGCCAAAGAAGAAGACGCTTTCCACTTTGTCAGTTACGTTCCTGTTAACGGAAGGCTCTACGAGCTGGACGGATTATGAGAAGGACCGATTGACCTAGGTGCGTGCAATCAAGACGACTGGATCAGCGCCGTGAGGCCCGCCATCGAGAAAAGGATACAAAAGTACAGTGAAGGTGAAATTCGATTTAACTTAATAGCCATCATGTCCGACAGAAAAATGATATATGAACAGAAGATAGCAGAGTTACAGAGACAACTCGCTGAGGAGGAACCCATGGATACAGAACAGGGTAATATGTTAAGTGCTATTCAATCAGAGGTTGCCAAAAAACAGATGCTCATTGAAGAAGTACAGAAACTAAAAAGATATAAGATTGAAAATATCAGAAGGAAGCACAAGTACCTACCTTTCATTATGGAATTGTTAAAGACGTTAGCAGAACACCAGCAGTTAACACCACTAGTAGAAAAGGCAAAGGAAAACAGAATGCAAAGAAAGCACAAGAAACCAAATGAAGAAGATGCTTCAGCAGGTGCACACACGTCTGCCTCTGCATCTATTTTCATGGAAACCATTAAATATGAAGAACGCTGGGCAGCACCCCGACTGACTCAATGCACGCTTGGCAGTAGTCCCAGCCTGTCCTGTCTAATGCATGGATTCCTAGACACCACTGCCTGCACCGTCTGCATGTCCTGCCTCTGATGTAACAGTGGCGGGAAGAGTCTAGTGGCATGAAGAGTCTAGCCCAAATCCCATTCTTTGACCTTGGATCTGAGAACTTCTGTGATTCCCTGCATACAGAGTAATGTAACAAACCTAGAAAATGCACAAATGATATTCTCCACCGGTAATTGTTATAATTAATCCCTTGATCTTTTAGCTCAGTTAAATGCTTTAAATTTATAAATGTCAGATCTTGACTAAATTGGATCTCTTGTTCTTATTAATGGAAGAAAAACCAGTATTTCTGTCTTTGATATCTAAATATTTTGAAGATTTTAAACCTGAATTTTATCTTCTATGTCAATTATTTGGGAAAGTATGATTTTAATGCAGATTATTTGAAAAGGACCAAAGTACAGTTTCTAGTGATTTTCATTGCTGCCAGTAGAAAAAAGTAATAAACATCCTAATTTTATTTTTGCAAAAAAAGGAAAAGAAAAATCTACAGCTAGCATTATACTTTATTGTGAATAACTGATAGCTTTCCCACTGAGATTAGGAATAAGGCAAAAGAATGTTCGCTCTCATCACTTGTATTCAACATTTTACTGAATGTTCTAGCTGGTGTGATAAAGCAAGAGAAATATCTTTGTATGTAGAAAATCCTGAGATTGTATGTATATACATATGTATCCATGTATTAGGACTAATAAGTGAGTTTAGCAAGGCTGCAAGATACAAAATCAATACAAAAGGATCAATTTTATTTCTTTTTACTAGAAATGAGACATCTGAAAATAAATTTAAGAAAGAAATTTCATTCACCAAGGTATTAAACAAGGAAAAACTTCTTGGGAGTAGATATAACAAAAGAAGTGCAGAAGCTATACACTAAAATAGGAGAAAACAGCTGAAATTACAGAAAACCTAAATTTGTGAAGAGAGATATTTATAGATTATAAGACTCAATATCTATAGATTATTTGATTTAACATAATCCCTATTAAAATCCCATCAGGCTTTTTTCTTACAGAATTTGACAAGTGGATCCTAAAGTGTACATGGAAATTTAAAGAATTTAGATTATCAAAACAATTTTGAAAAAGAAAAATTAAGTTAAAGGATTTAAACTAGCTGACTTCAGCCTACTATAAAGCTATAGCTATCAGACAGTATGATATAAGGATAAACATATAGATCAATGTAATGGAATAGAGTTTAGAAATAATATCTAACATTTATAGTAAACTGATTTTTAAAAAGATGCAAGTGTGATTCAGTCAGGGAAAGAATACTCTTTAATAATTGGAAATTTGTATGCAAAAATTTTAAATAAACTCAGATCCTTACTTTACACTGTACACAAAATAATTAATTCAAAATGGACCAAAGACCTAAATGTAAAAGTAAAAACTATAAAATTTCTAGAAGAAAACATAAAAAAATCTTTGTGATCTTAGGATCAAAATTTATAAATCATGAACTTAATAATAAAAAGACAACCCAATTAAAAAGTATGTAGAAGATTTGAATATGTGTTTCATCAATGTCATGCCAGTGGCTAATAAGCACAAGAAAAGGTGAAAAAAATTGGGAAAGGTAAATAAAAACTACAATAAAATATTACAGACCCACTAGAATGGCTATTATCAAAAAGTCTGACTGTACTGAGTGTTAGCAAGGATGCGGACAAATTGAAATCCTTAGAGTACAATGCTCATGAGAATGTAAAATGTTACATCCATTTTGGAAAAGGTTTGGCAGTTTCTTGGCAAGTTATACATATACTTACCACACTACCCAGCATTTCCATTTCTCTGTATCTACTCAAGAGAAATGAAGATACACAAGTACTTGCATATGAACATTCATAGTAGCATTATTTTTAATAGCCAAAATTTGGAAACAATTCAAATGTTAAATCAACTAGGAAATGGATAATCAAAATGTTTATATATCCATATAATGGAATACTACTCAGCAATAAAATGACTACAACATGAATGAGTCTCAAAACCATTATATTTATGGGGGAAAAAGTCAAACTATATATTGTGTGATTCCATTTATATACTTTTTTTTTTTTTTTTTTTTTTAAAGGGAAAACTACAGAGCCAGGATTGCATGGGGCTGGGAATGGGAGAAGGGGTTGATTTCATACAGCATGGGGGAACTTTTTTTGCATGAGGAAACTTTTGGAATAAAGGGAAAGCTCTAAAACTGCACTGTGGTGACAGCTCCATTACTGCATAAATTTACCAAAAAGCACTGAATCATACACTTACAATGGGTGAATTTTATGGTATGTATATATTATAGTTCAATAAACCTGTTATAAAGTCATATGACAAAGAGTATAAAATGTATAACTATACAATAAGGAAGTAAAAAATTGGAACAATAATTCAGTCTATCAAAGTAACTAAATTTCAAATAAATAAAATATATTGGTGAATTCCTTGAGGCAGTCAAATTTTGAATTACCAGCTTTCACAACCCATATCTAATACTGGCTTCAACTAGATCTACCATTCACACCTCTGTGGTTTACCACTGCAATTAGCTTAGTGCATTTGGTAGATGCTTAATAAATACTTTTTGAATAACATGAAGTAAGGGTATCTTGAAACTCTATAATTTTTGGTATTTACTCTGCAGCAAAACCTACACTCTATTTTTCAGTAATATCTAAAGTTACATTGCAATTTTAAAATATTCTCTTAAATTTTATTTTATTTTTTTTCATCACCATTTATCCCCTCTATGCCCTCTTCGACCTCCACTTACCCTCTCCCTCCCGCAATCATCACACTGTTGTCCATGAATTCTCTCTCTCTCTTTTGCTTAATCCCCCTCTCCCATATTCTCTTAAATTTTATCTTTTAGTTTTGATGTTTGAGTATTCTTGCCAGGAAAAATACTTATGTAACTCAAGTTATCCTAGCTATGGACCACTAATCATGTAAGTATTTAGACACTTATGAAATCTGGCAGTCTCTTGCCCTCTATCAAGTCCCAACAGCCCAGGGGATATTTTACGGGTGCTCAAGCACAGTTTGTCTCCCTAATATCCTCACTGCCCTTGTGGACAGAGTATTTCCTTGCCTATGGCTATTCTTACTCTTCCAGGTATGGCGGATGGTGCTTCTTCTCCACTTTGAGCAAATGCCACAAATCTGTGTTATCAAACAACTGGGCCCGGCAGAGTGGCCACAAGGAAGGACTGTGTCCATCTTTGCTTTAAGACACTTTTGGTTCCACCACTGGGAGATGGTCCTATCAGTCCTGCATTGGTGTCTGCACCAAGCTCGCAGCTCCACAAAGCTCCCAGGGCCTTGCTGTGGAAATGGCAAAGATGCCTCTCTATCTTTAGAGTTGCATTGTGTTCGATGTGCCCTAAGGCAGGGCTGCTTGGGTCCCAAGGTGTTAGAGAGTTTTAGAGATTTTTAGTTTTACTCAGAACTTTCTCCTTCAGCTCCAGATCCGCACCAAGTAAGCAGTGTTTGGAAGAGATTTGCATAATCTCAACCATGCTGTTCTCAGAATCCTTATTCTCCTCTGATTTACCATGTCTGTATCCTTCATTGTCACTGCGTTCTTTAGGACCTTCTGAAATAGTCTTTCATCAGGCTACCTCCTCAATTTGACAAGCACATTCAGACATGCCTGAAATAGTGATGATGGCTCAGTAGTCATCATTACTGCATTTGAAACCTGACCGTTGTTATTAAGGAGGCTCTTGAATACAGCTTCCTGGACAATGGACTTTTGTTTTAAACTCTTGGACCCACTCTTTCTTTTTACCTTGTTAGAATTGTCTTTATTTAAATATCAGAAGTTTTAAATAAAAAATTATTTTATAAACTATTATTTACAATTTTGATAGTGGAAGAATTTCTTCTCTTTTTCTGGATTGTGTCTGCACAAGCAAGATGGGGAATAGAACATAAATTGGTGTCACAGTGTGAGGTTCTTTTGCACAATCATTGTGCCTCTAAGTCTGACCTTCAGAAACTGACCTATGGCATATGTGGAAACTCTGCCGTCACAGGCTGTTGTTATTTGCTTCCCCAAGTCTGTTACCCTTTGTTCCTTAGTAACCTACTCCTTGCAGTGGGCTCATGTGAGAACTTTATTTCCCAGCCTCCCTTGCACATCAATGTCCAATAAGATACAAGTGGAAGACTTTAGGAAGCTCCTTAAAAGTGAGGGGATGAGCATTCTTTTTTTCTCTTCCTTTTTCATGAGGATGGAATTAATCAGCTCTATTAGAACTGTGACTAAGCCTTAAGAACGGAAGCCATGCATGAGGAGGGTTGAGAAGAAAGATAAAATGAGTGTGGGCCTCTAGACTTTGAGGGGTCACCACGGTGGCTCTGGTCTGTGCCCATACTCTTTCTTTTAGGTTTAAGAAAGAAACAAAGTTCTATATTGTTTAAGACACTTTTTGTTTTATTTCTTGAATACATAGCCAAGTGTTATTTCTAAAAAATACATTTGATAAGCACAAGAAGAAGATGAAATATTCCTGATAGCAGAAGAATAAAGCACCTGATTGTTTTCTATTGATGCAGGAATGGTTCCCATTATGACACAACATTTCAAAAGAGCAGCTGTTACAGCATCCAGTTTATCTGAAGCATTTCAAATATTAGTTAAAAATAAATGTTTATGTTTATGAATCACAGAGTCATAAATGGCTTTGAAATGAAGCTGGGCTAAATACCAAACCTCTCAGTTTGAAGTCAGAGAGCACAGTTCTGTTTCCCATGCTGTGTATCCTGGGGCCTTTGTGAAGAACAAGGCTAAATAAACTGCAATTCTGATCCACAAATGGATCTCATATTGC